TGCATTAATCAAGTATCATTCATAAAGGTTTTTTTAGTTCTTATTATTCTCTTAGATTACTACTAAAAATAACCCATGAAACGCTTCATATTTGTTTTTCTTACGCAACACTAAGTGAATTTGTTTTAATGAGGCCAAAAATATGACTTGATAGTACTATTTATTTATGTTATCAGAATGAAATTCACCTTAAATAGGCTTCTACTGCTAACAAAAAAATTAGCTTATTTGAGCGAAGTGAAACGGAATTATTTCATTTTTTTATCGTAGTGGTTATTGCATGACTCACTCTTTGTGATAAAAATATTTGCATTTCGGTCTTGTAAAGCTATAGAACGGCACAGGAAATGTATCAAGTGTTATATATCATAGAAGGTAGTCTTATTCTGGTTTAATGTGGGTATGAGTGGAACTGTTGGTTGGAGGATATGAAGAAAGGATGTACTCTCAAACCCACACCTATACCGACACCCACCGGAAGTAGATCTTTAGATCATAACATTTCTGATTATTTTATGTTATAGAAAGGCCAAACTTCCTATGAGATCACACTCAAAATCTGTTTATACCATGCCTTTCGACATAAAAAAATCGGTTTTTTCATAGAACGGCTCTTAACACAACAATAAAGCTTATCTCGGGATCATCCACATTATGCTGCTTCCTACAGAAACATCGATTTGCTTTATAATAAGATCGGTGGCTAGTCGAAAGCACTTGATTTTCACGAAAAAGATCCTTAAATCTTTTAAAATAGCCTGTCCTCCGAGTCATCCGAGTTTGGCTATTTTGTGCGACAACATTGGTTTGACGTTTAGCAACATGGATGACTTATTAAAAACAGTGAAGTTCTACGAGAAAAATCTGAAAACTAAGGAAAAATATTTGTGTAAGTTTAATGCCTATTTGATAATTTCATGGGACAAAATCAGTACGATGCGTTTCTGCTTGGATTGCCTTTCGAAAGGAGCTGAATTTGATGAATGAAATGTGAGTATCAAGGAAAAAGCTCAGTCTCTGAATCATTCTGATTATGATTCAGATTCTTTTAAAAACAACATTGGTTCGATGTGTTGCAACAGTGTTGACCCCTCGAAAGCACTTTATTTTCAGACAAGGCACTCGTATGATGGAAAAATCGCCTGGACCAACGCATTTTCTAATCAAACAAGCGACAGTTAATATCGACTATGTACAGAAGGCTATGTCATTTTTTGATTTTCCTTGTGTTTTTGAACAAAGCCGTTCTCACTATAAATCATTCTCTCATGTTTCTCTGTTCTGCATCACGTGTGCCGGCAAACAAGAAGAATCAAAGTGAATTTGGGGGTATATAGAAAACGGGTCACGTGAAGCTTGTAGGGTAAGAAGCGTGGGCAAAGCATATGTAAGGGTTCTAGGGCAGTATGACCATGGTGGACAGTCGAAGTACTTCATTTCATTCGCCTGAAAAGGACATGGAATCTCCCTGATCGGGCTACGAAGGTACCTGTTGGACTATGAGGCAAGATCGTAAATATCCTTACACAATGTAGCTGAAGAAAATGTCAACATACAAATAATGTTTTTACTATCACCTAGCGTTTAGTGTAAAAATTTGAAAGCAAGCTCATTCGTCTATACCGAAAATTATTCTATACGATGAGTTGATGAATATATTATCGATAAAATATCTCAAAAATTCTTATTGTTGATCATCATATTTTAACTTAGGTTTTGTGAGTATGAATCTAGATGTGGGATACGAATGTGAGTAGGTGTGAACGTGTTTGAAAGCACGATGACACTCACGTATACATGGAAAACCACAACAGCAGTCATTGCCATATTCTGAGAGCTGGGTAAGTCAAATGTTTTTCAAACCACAAGTCAGACTTTCCAAGACGTGAATTAATTCTCGACTAGAGTGTTTCTCCTAAGAGTAATCCAGAACTGTTGTTAATCATATATTAGTGACGAAAATCTATTGTTCATTTGAAAACATAGTGTGTTTCACTGTTTTTTGAATAGCTTAAGAATGCAATCAGCTAGTGATCTCTGGTTTTCATCAATGCAACGAGAAGAAATGGGGACGTCTTTTTTTCCATTACTGTAGAAGACAAAATCATTTGAAAATCAGTGAATTCTTGAAATCATCGAAAAAATGCATAACAATTATCTGTCATTCAGATAAAGTTTTAACAAAAAGTAAGAAAATTTGCCTACAAATTAAAAGAAATTCGCAGTTTTTGGAGCAGTAAACAGACGACTTTGTTTGCTCAACATTAGGATGTGAGAAGATAGTCATTCGAGTTATGTCTTCAACTATAGCTTTGAGCTCCATCTATCTAAATCACATGTCATAACTATAATAATATTTGATCGAAATGATGGATAGTTTTCAAGAAATTTTTGCAAAGTATTGCAGAAATGACTGATTCGTAAATAATATCGTCTAATACAATAATGGAGAAAAAGACGTATCCATGTCTCCTCTTTCGATTGATGAAAACCTCAGACCTCAAATTTATCCTATTCTTCAGTTATTCACTAACAAAAAAACATTGGAGCACACTTTATTTGAAAAAGGACAACCATTGTAACAGTGCAACATATTACATCTTTTCAGTTCAATTGAACCTTATGGCTGCTTTCGATGAATAGACACCATTTTTCCATGTCAAAATTTGTATCACTCTGCGTATAATCTAACATCTCCATTAGGCTATTCATGATATTATTCAGAAAACTGCGAAAATCTCTGAACCGTACTGTCTACGATAAGGCAACATGACCCAATCGCGACCATGCTAGTCCAGACTTTGCTCTAGTATTGCTTTTATAACAGTTGCAGTCATCGAAAATATGTTCAATGTTTTTTCAGACAAATATCTAGAAGCAACATTGGTAAGCCATATTACGTCTTTCTATTAACAATAACTGACCCGCTATCGAAAAACACCAAAAAGTATGATATGGACTTGTGAATTCTGTGTTCATTGTATATGTATAGATAAAAAGCCAAAAAGCTTACGACACTCGGTATTCCCAGGCGGTCACCCATCCAAGTACTAACCGAGCCCGACGTTGCTTAACTTCAGTGATCGGACGAGAACTGGTGTATTCAACGTGGTATGGCCGTAAGCATACAACAATGTTTTCATTCGTCACTTTATGATTTCTCGGACTTGAATGAGTTCCCGCTTATGATTCGTATGCAAACAATACTCAAGCACTGTTGTGAATGGTTAATAATTGATGAAAATCTCTTTGCGAGAATGCAGCATTTAACATCTTTTCAGTACAATTACAGTCTATGAATGTCTTTTGATAGGTAAATACTGTTTTCAACAATAGAAATGAGTATTCTTTTGGAATCTAACTTTTCTATTCAGCCAATCATGCCAGTGATGGGAAGTTTGTGAAAATCTGAGAACCATAGCATCTATTAAAGCTAGATGATTGAATGGAACTCTCCACTACAACTAGTTATGTGAAAGGGTTACTTGGTTCATCGATTGCAGTCATAGAAAATATGTCCAATGTTTCTTCAAACGAATATTTAGAAAGAACATTTGTGTCGCATATTAGCTATTTGAGTACAGAGAAAACGAGAAGGTGTCAAAAAAAGTAAAAAGTATGATGTGGATTGGTGAATCCTGTGTTCGCTGTATGTGTGTAGATAAAAAGAAAAAAGCTTACGACACTCGGTATTCCCAGGCGGTCACCCATCCAAGTACTAACCGAGCCCGACGTTGCTTAACTTCAGTGATCGGACGAGAACTGGTGTATTCAACGTGGTATGGCCGTAAGCATGCAACAATGTATTCATTCTCGACTTTACAATTGACTTAGATTTGAGACATTTTTGATCTGACTTGCCCGACTCTGCATATCTCACAACAAAAGTCACACTTCTTAGACCCTCAAAAATATGTTTTTCAAGTATAGTTTTTTCTGTAATCGCTGGCAAAAACCAACGGTACATTACGTTTTGAAACAAAAAAATATAGGCACCTAAACTGTTTTTTAGTATTGCTAGATAAATATTTCACTACTTTTTTATGCGAAGCACTTCTTCTTCGAAACGAAGCAAGATAATGTCGAAATTTTGATGTCGGTTGTCGAAATTGAACTATCTCGTCAATTTGTTCTACTTCTAAAGTGATATATTGATTCCTTGAAATGCGTTCAGTAGATAGAGAACATTTCAAAACATATCGAGCAAAACGAATCAGAAAATAGAAAAGTTGGGAATTTTGACTCAGCACCGGAAAGTCTCCTTCGAAGAACATCATTTGCGAGACAATAGTCGTAGTTTATTCTTTTTGGCATTGATTAATCAGTCTTTCATAAGAAATATCAAAAAATACATAGTCAAAAAATATAAATAGTTTTGAAAAGCAAGTATAATCTGATATAAGCAGTTTTCTTTAGGACAAAAAAATCAATTATTACAAATGAATGCTGAATTTCTTTGTGATTGAGTTCATTGGAATATTCTAGAAATAATAAAACATTGCCTCAATGAAGCATTACATATGCATATTTTTTTATTATTGTTTATTTTCAATTAATCTTAAATTCTGTAAGTCGCATTATATAGATATTACGTTTCATTTTTTCCTTGTGACCCGTTGAAGAGAAAACTGATGAGATATTGAATAAGTCTAAGCTGGTTTTTCTTGTGTTCAAAGCTTCTAAATAGTCTTGTTTTGAATGTCGTTTGTTTTATACGCAATGATATACTTGCATTTTTCGATCCATGCCAACGAAAGAAGAAATACAGTTTATTGCGATATAAAAAATAATTGCAATTATATGATATTTTTACATACAGAAAACTGTTCTCAAATAAATAGATAGATAACATGACTGGAAAATAAATATTTTTATTTTTCTTAAGAAAAACTGGAATTGATTAGTATTCTTATTCTTATTCTTATTCTTAAATTACTAGCATGAATTGATCTATGTTTTAAAAAGTAAAAAGCTCGATTAGAAAATGAAATCAATGAAATTCAATTCGATGGAATAACTGTCATCTTTTTCAGTCGATGAAAACATTGAATAAAGCATTCATTGATATTAACTGTTGTTGTCCAGCCATATTGATGTGCTTTTGCCATATTATCATGATCATCAAATGCTCGACCAAGAACGAAATCTAACAAAGAAAAATTTTCAAATTTAATTAACTTTAAATGAAAATAAATTATTTCTTACCAATAAATTCCCAAGTAGCATAGTTAAAAGCTGATTCATCAAGGTTATTACATTGAGCAAGGCGATACCATATATCTTTATTTTCTGGCATATATTTCGCAAGAGATAGTTGTAAAATATCAATATCTCCTATTTTCATATCTTAATGTACATTAAATTTTTGTTCATAAAGAATAAAACCAAAATATCTCAATTATAAAAAAATTGTAAAATTTAGTGTATAAAAAAAACTGAATAAACTAAATTATATTACTTTTCAATTTTTGGTCATACTGTTCGAAATTTGACTTCATCACCATTATGTATATTAAATATTTCATTTTGAATTTTATCATTTGTTGATGACCATAATTGAAAACGTGCATTCTTTAATGCATTGGAATGATCCATCATTGAATTCCAAGCAATTTTATTACAAAGAAAAAATAATGATTGACCTTTTTCTTTTTGAATACAAGCGTAAAGTGCAAGACTAACAGCAAAATTCATAAAATTTCCGTATGATACACCAATAATAACATTCGGTCGTGTGATAATGTATTTCCAACCGTTTTTTTCAGCATATTCTTTAAGAAGATCTTCTTGTGCATAATAAAAATTCGAACCTTTATGACGAGGAGCATCTTCAACATAAGGACGAGATGTCAGATATTCACCACCTTTATCAACACCACAAAACTAAAAAACAGTAATTTTATGAATTTCAATTAAATTCATAAGAATTTCTTTTTACTTTATAACCTGTTTGAAGTAGTACATATTTTTTTACCAGCTATTTTATTAGTAGCATCAAGTGCTTTTTGAAATATTATTTTATTGGCTTGATCAAATTCTTTTTCATCTTTTTTTTTAATATATGTGTAATGATATACATGTGAAATAGATTCTTCACCTGCTTTAGATAATTCTGTAACAGATTTCATCAACACTAGCTTGAAGAATATCAATAGAAATAAAATATACTCGATTATCTTCAACATCTAATTGTGTTGGTCGTCGAGAAATACAAATAATTTTACTCCATTCATTTTGAGGTTGTTCAACTAATAAATCAATCATTACTGTGCCAAATATTCTATTAGCAACCCATACACAAGCAACATTTGATAAAGGCAATGTCATCTTTATTTATTTTTGTATTTTATTCTTGTTTGCGATGATATATATATTGGTGAAAAAAATACACTTAACGTACATCGGTTACACTTCGTTAGTTCGTGTTACTAAGTTCAATTATCCAATAACAACAAAAGGATCACTCGTTGGACAAACGAAAAAATATTGATTGAAAATCATATAAAAGTCTTTTTGTTTTGTTTTTTTTTTAACAAGAAAACTGTCTTGCATTTTGTAATATTGGATTATAAATGAGAGAATCAAGTAAAGATATTTTTGAATTAGATGATGTTGTTATAAGATTGAATCAATGGCAATAACTTCGGATGAACGATTACATACAGTCATGCTTTTAGACTTCTTTTAGTCTTATCGAGATCTAATTATTTTCACTAATAATGTGGAGTTACAATTCATTAATATCAACACCTTAGTAAATTTTCTTCTGATTCTAGTTTTCACCAGTTGTACTTTTTCTTAAAACAGCATGTGTGTATACCAATTTTATAAATATTAATTGCAGATTTAAAATGCCAAGATATAGGTCTACAGAACAAGGTATTCATCGTATTAAAGTAAGTTATAGATATTCGGAATAGAAAATCCAATTAGTTGATATATCTACGTGAATTTTTAGGAATTCAGTTAGGTTTTTTTTTTATTTAGTTTACGCTAAGTTCCTACAGAACATAATGTTTCAGTATCTGAAGGTTGTAATATAGCTTTTAATGTACCAGTAATATCTATTCGAGTAAAATGTGCAAGATGGTGTGAATTATTGAGCCAATAGAAAAACTTGCATTTGTTTGTACTATTGTGAAAATGAAGATAAAATTCTTTCGTATATGCCTCTTTATTTTTATTATTTTTATTAACCTAAGACTTCTTTTTTTTCTCCTAATCATAAATAAAACTAGTTTCTTTTCTTTTATGCTTGACCACAATCCGCTATGACGACATTGGCTCGTGGTGTACCTTCTTGTGTACCACAACTTTCCATTTTTTTGACAATATCTTGACCTTGTAGAACACGCCCGAATATAACATGTTTACCATCAAGCCTACGAATATAATCATATTTTAGAAAAAAACATAAACGAATTTTATTTTGATTTTGTATACCATGGTGTGGGAGCCACAGTGATAAAAAATTGTGAACCATTTGTATTTGGACCTGAATTTGCCATTGATAATAAAAACGGAACATCGTGCTTTAAACGAAAATTTTCATCAGGAAATTTGTCTCCATAAATACTTCGGCCTGAAAAGATATTAATATAGAAAACAGTTTTAGAATTAATTAACCTCCTGTGCCATCACGTAAATCAAAATCGCCACCTTGAACCATGAATTGAGGAATAATTCGATGAAATGGACAACCGCGTAAACCAAAGCCGCGTGCACTTGTACATAATTGTCGAAAGTTTTCTTAAAAGAAAAATTGTAATAGTATATTTGTTACATGAATAATAGAAACCATTTACCTGCTGTTTTTGGTACAATATCGGAAAAAAGCTAAACATTAAGAAAAATACTACGAGATTAATATTGAAATCAATGAAAACAAACCTCAAAAATGACGACCCCCTGTGGTTGTCCATTAATAGCTATGTTAAAAAATACTTTTGGTCGTTGCATTTTTGAAGTGAATAGCAAAAAGAAAGCGAAAAGTTACGATTGTGAGTATATAATGATTCGCTTCAATGAATGTATTACTGAGTGCACGAAAGGGTAGGACACTCAAAGCACAAAGAAAATGGGTTGTATTCTATTCAATCGTTCTCAATCAAGACATTGATATGTAAGATATTGATCTGACCTATAGTAGCGTTTATGTAACACAGTTCGAAACGAATAAGAAAACCGTCATTTGTATTCGATTCGATTCGATTCGATCAAGGTTATAATCAATTTGATTCAATTCGATTCAAACGGTTTTCAAAAAAAGGATATTTTTATTTTCGCATATATTATTGACTACTTAATTTTGAATGTCTTTTTCTGAGCAAGCTAATTATTTTTTCCATTTCCCTGCTGTAGTTACTCTTTCTATATTTGATCTCTTCTTACATATTCAAAAAATGATTTATTTGATTAAAACAAAAAGTACAATAAAAAGTAATTTTATACAATGAAATTGCTCATTAAAGTTCGATCTTAATGAACCTGAGAACAATGATACAATTGACTCTTGGAAGATCGGAATTTCATGCACTGAATCCATCAATCAAAATTGAACGAGCAAAAAATGATTGCTACGAGGTTTAGTCGAAAAAATTTGTAAAAAGAAAATAACAGATTGTTTCTATAAAAAAATACTATTTGATGGGAATAATTTCAACAGATATTAAAGAAATAATAGGCAGAGATTGTTCAGCAATCTTCAGATTATTACAGATATGGATTGTTTTCTTGATATACATATATCTTTAAAATTAAAATATCTTTTTATTATTAAACTTATCACATGAAAAGATTCTTATGCGATTGTAAATAAATAACTATCAACAAGTGTTGAAACTATCACAGATTATTTAGTATATAGTATATATTTGTGTCATTTGATTGTACTTTCGCAACTGGCACTTCTATTTACAACTAATTTCTAAACTGCTGTTCTTTTTTTTGTATCTGTATAACTTACTGTGCCAACTATTAGTTTCACGTAACACTATTAAGTCAATTTAATTAGTGTCATTATAGATTAACACCTGAAAGTGGAAGACTTTGTACTTGTGTTCCGGATTTCTCAGCTATTCTTTGTAGTAAAGAATTTTTAAATAGAATATTCCAGGATACTGCCAATTCATCTTCTGTTTATCACAGATCGACAAGAATAGCTTAAGAACACATTCCGAATAATTAGATTTAAACGTGTTCATGCATTCTTCAAGACTGTCATTGTTATCATCGATGGTCATGCTAAATGGTTCAGATACGAAATCAATCAGACTCATTCTTGAATCGACCGCTCTTTATTGTCTTCTGATGTATTTCATTTAACTTTGACAAAAATTAAAACTAGTGCAGTTCAGAACAATATTCAAATGAATAGCTTTGTTATTTGTGATGCCGAATGATCGTCTTTCATTCTCTGATTGAGGATTTTGTGCTAACCATCAATTGTTTCCTTTCTTCTAAAGAATTGAATGATAAGATATATGGTAGAAGAAACTGAATTTAGATCCATCATACCAAATATCAACGTTTGGCCGGTATCATCCTAAGAGGTAAAAATATTCAGAGAAAAAATAAACGAAAACTTACAATAAAGTTAGGAACATTACTTAGTTTATTACGTCTAGAATACTAAAACAGAAACTAGAATTTATACTCGTAATATAGTATAGCTCTGTCTGTTTTGATCAACATTTTTTAAAATGTATATACAATATATATAGGTGAAGTGCTTATACCTAATTAAGCAACAGAAAAGAACGAAAATCTGATTTTTTTCTAACACTGTGCATATTATCTTTACAAGTCTGGGTTGTTTTTACAAATTTTGACTTGTTGATTTAAATTTAATTGTACTTATTCACATTTTACCAAAATAATCATAAACTTTAAAATGAATTTGAATAGTAGTGCTAAGAACTTTTTTACTTGGTGAACGAAGATATTGCTTTATAAGATTATAACATTGGAAATAATATTAAATACATTCATCAAACAAGTACAGAAATACTGTATAAACATCGAATTCTAACAAAAAACATTATAGTAAATTTTGTATGAAAATAAATTTCTAGATCTTGAGAATAAATCAAGTATCAACTAATAAGAGAAAATGTGCAGTTTTTTTTATATTTAATTCACTTAATAAATCAATTAATAAAAAAAATGGAATTTGTAGACTTATTTGGTCATTTTCAACTATAAAAACAAGACAACTAACTATTAGTAAACAACACATTAAACTAAATAATAATAAACGAAATGATGTATAATTAAATATCATCAACTAATACAAACATTAGCCAATAATAACATCATAGTCTAATGATATATAGCAGAAAATAAAATTTCAATGATTGATTCTTTAGTTTGTTTGATATCGGAAGGAATTTGGTTACTTTTTTATTATTTAAGTTATCATATGATATCTTTAGATACTTGCTAATACAAAACTTATTACTATTCGATCATGATATTATTATAGGATCATGTTTATGTAAGTTAATGATGTTAAGCTATGTATCATGTCATTTATAACCTTTGAGCGTAACTTGTCGTTTACCATCAGTTATTAGTTCTATTTTTGTTTTAGCTGAAAATGATAGAATATAGTCGATAATTCTGATTTTTTCATTTTCAGATATATAAAATTAAATAAATAAAAAGCTTCATATTTTTTCTCTTGTTAATTAATATTAAAGTTTGTTTTGAATTAATAGCATTAAAAATGTAAAACTTACATATATCGTTATAGTTATTTAACGGTTTACCTAGATTTGAGTATTGAATCTATTAATTTTATGTATTTCAATAAAAAGTTGAAACCTAATTTAATACTATCAATAAGAAAAATAAATAACTGGATTCGTTGGAAAAGAACACAAAATTCTCATTTTGCACCATATAAGTATCATTTTATAAATATTAAAAAATGTTGGTATTCATTGGATACTTAGGGCACTTTTTTTAGGATAAACTAACCATTATTTACTTGGCATCAAATAACTAACATATAACAGATGCATGCAATAGTTTTTTTCCAAAGTTATTGATGTACTGTATATCATTTTATCGTGTATTTCTACTGTAGCAAATAGAAAAATTAGACACATAGTGTTCTACAATGCGTTAGATAAGAAATATCTTTCTTATACCTATTATGTAAGCGTGCTTGAATTCATCATGTATTTATAAACAACTGTACCTGTGATATATCTATTTACGACACAACTACACAAAAGTTCATTTATATTAAATTCTTGCGTGTAATCTTTATACGAGAAAATGATTACTGAACGAACAGTCGATCATTTAAAAAGCATATTGCG